TGTGTGTGTGTGTGTGTGTGTGTGTGTGTGTGTGTGCGTGCACATTGTACCTTAAAACTGCATAATGAAGGAGCTGTGAGTGGTTGGAGGGCTGGATGGAACCAGAATGAGAACATGTTAATTACACTTGAATCTGGGTGGTGGGTACATTGGTGTTTATTACACTATTCTGGTTTCTTTGTGTATGTTTTTAAATTTCCATAATCAAAAACAAAACACTATACTGTTTATATATACCACAAATAATGCTTGGCATTTTAGGGATCTTGGTATCCACTTTAGAAATCTGCTATGCTAATATTCCTGTCAAGGTTTTGTATGCTCAGCTGCATTCTGCGTTCATCATACCCCAGATGTCTTACTGCCTCTTGCTATCCTGTTTATCCAATATTGCACAACTATTGGGGACCACATAATTTAAAACAAGCTGAATGTTATACTTTTATTTCTTTTAACTATTTTAAAGTTATGAAAGGTTCTACACATGTGTAAGGAGACAGTAAGGCTGTTACCTAGGATAAATCTATGCAATTTGGGGTAGTTTAAGATTTCACAAGCCTGGCTTGGTGGGGCAGGCCTCTAATCCTAGCTATTCGGGGGGCTGATGCAGCTGGATCACAAATTCAAGCCCTTCTTGGGCTACAGAGTGAGTTCAAGGCCAGCCTGTGTAACTTACTGGGACCCTATCTCTAAACAGAAGAGTAAAAAGGGGGCTGAAGATGTAGGTCAGTGGTATCATACTTGCCCGATAAGCATGAGGCCCTGGGTTTAATCCCCAATACTGAAAAAGAAAAAGTTTTCTGTTGAGCCTGACTCTAAGCTCTACTATGGTTTACAGAACTCATTTTCTAGTGGCAGGGAGGGTCTCTCCTCTGGCTGGCTGGTTCAGAACCCAGGGGCACACCTTTGCCGTTGGGACGCTGACAGGGCCATGCACAGGATGACCAGTGAAGGTTAGGCATGCCGTGTTCCCTGCTGTTCCAGAAGGCAGCCTAAGAGAACTGAAAGGCAGACTCAGTTTAGGAAAAAGTCTATGATTTTGCGAAGTGTCACCATTTCTTCAGTTGGCCAAATTGATAGCCAAAGAGCATGCGAGGGTTTTGTCTCCTTATCCCCTGCCGATCTGAGTACTCATTTGACTTCCTTACATCTGGAGGGTGAGATATGTAAATTGCAGCATGCCACATTTAATAAGCTAGTCCCCCCTTTCAGTTGGATGTTTCAGCACCCATGTATATTAGCACATTGAAGATGATAATGCGATTTGCATTTTCCCCTGTCATCTATTGATCCTGGAGTTGACACTTGCTAAGTATTTCAAATGCCTAGATAACAGGTGCAGCAGATTCACTTGGCTTTCCTTATCTCTTGCCACACAAACTTTTTAAAAAAAAAACTTATTGGGGCCTGGAGAGATGGCTCAGCGGTTAAGAGCACTGACTGCTCTTGCAGAGGACCCGGTTTGATTCCCAGCACCCACATGGCAGCTATGAACCATCCTTAACTCCAGTTCCAGGGAAATCTGAAGCCCTCTTCTGACCTCCGCATTGCACAACACAGGTACACTCACTTACATGCAGGCAATACACTCATACACATAAAATAAATAAAATATTTTTATAAAATTTATTGGATATGTTATTAATCTAATAACACTAGTGGACATAACATGCACTGTGGACATTAGCACCAGGGATTCTGGCATTTTTTCTTGACCTCTTAAATTTGAGTAATATTGAGTTGGAAAAATATTAAACTTTGGTCAGAAAGCATAACAGAATACTTACTTAGATTCAAGAAAGCATGATCATGTAATGCTGTCTCATAGAATGGGAGCAGTGTTTGAAGATGGCATATAGAGGTGAAATATTTTTAATTGTGTTTAGAGAAATTGCCAATTTGCTGTCAAAATGGTTTTCCTATGAAATTTAAAAGGCACGTCTCCAAAAGAACAGACAGTATTAGTATATTTTACATGTTATATAATAATAATAGATATATAATAATCAT